TCACTCGGCTGTAGATCCTCAAATCATCTCTGAATTGATGCTGACACTGTCCTTCCTTCTGGAGGGGGGCCACTTTTGTTCCCCATGGCCACTGTGTGTGTTATAAAGTAGCTTTTGTTACAAGCTCTCTCCCATGATGGACTACAATCTCATGTTTAGTCTACATTTTTATTAGTAGTTAAGGTACTTAAATGCATTCAACTAAACTCCTGAGTTTAGTGTCACTTTAAATCACCTTTTTACTTTGTATATCTCCCAGAAACTCCATTGGTGAGTTTTGTTCATAGTTTATATGCCTTGTGAACTTTAAGACCTTATTGCATTATGGCACAAAGCCTTAAAGCATAGAGTCAATATTTTATCATTATAAACATATATAATCATTTTGAGTAGAGTAGGGATGGTTAAACCCCTGCCAGTTGTTTTTTGCTGCCTGTGTCACATTGCAGAGACTTCGCACCACTTCCTGTGCTTGAGACACAACCAGAAGTGTAAGAGTAAAGCTCTCCAATGTAAGGGAATATCCCCTGTTAGTTGCCAGTGGAACAGATGTCTCCATTGGAAAATTTACTTACACTTCTGGTTGTGGCTCACTTCTGTTCCTATTATTAATATACTGTTAATATACAGTATATATATGATCCCTATATCTCTCAACAAAATTATGTGGGAGTAATTAAATGATCCAGTCTGAAAGATAATACCTTTCCAGCACTTTACCACTCCAATTTGTCCCCTTATATAACCCTCTAGAGATGCACCCATACCATTTTTTCAAGACCGAGTACCAATCAGGGTCGGATTTCCCACAAGGCCAACCAAGGCCTGGCCTTGGGGCAGCAGGGAGTAGAGGGGCAGCAGGCGTGTGGAATTCCTATCTCTCGATGCACAGGAGCTGCAGTTCTGACCGCCGGGCGGGTAGTTTTCTACATTTAGCCCTGCCTTGGGCAACAAGAGCTAAATGTACAGTGGGGAAGCAGCCGCTTGTTTTGTACAACTGAGCCCGGAGATGGCGCCGAGATCACTTGTATGCAGCCTGCCAGTCTGCGCATTTGAGGAACCTGGCCATGGGGCAGCAGAGAGAGTAAATCCGGCCTTGGTACCAATACGTTTCCTCAAGTACTTGCCAATACCAATTACCGATACCTTTTTTTAGTGCCATGTGACAGTTTTTCTAAAACACTACAGACTAATGATTTAAGGACAGTAGTGAAGTGCCAGGGCCTGGTCCCAGCTGCAAACTCTGCGTCCCGGGTAGTTCTGCTACCGACTCTAAGATGTAGAGGGACTGCTGCAAATCCCAGCAATACATTATATAGCAATGCAGAAAACCACCAGCTATAGAGGACTACAAATCCCAGCAATACATTATACAGCAATGCAGAATAATATGAAGCTACATACTCTGTGTTGCTCACCAGAGCTGTGTGCAGGGTCTCACCATGGATGCGTGCAAGGTCTAGCCAGGGCTGCGGGCAGGTGCGTGTCTCACCAGGGCTGCGTGCAGGTCCATGCGGGTCTCACTAGGGCTGCGTGCAAGGTTTCACCAGGGCTGCATGCAGGGTCTCGCCGGGCCTATGCGGGTCTCACCAGGACTGTGGGGGCAGGGGCAGGTTTCACCAGGGCTGCATGCAGGGTCTCACCAGGGCTGTGCGAGCAGGTGCAGGTCTCACCAGAGCTGTGCAGACAGGTGCAGGTCTCACCAGGGCTGCTTGCGGGTCTATGCGGATATCACCAGGGCTGTGTCCAGGGTCTCACCAGGGCTGTGTCCAGGGTCTCACCAGGGCTGCATGCAGGGTCTCTCCAGAACTGTGTGGTCAGGTGCTGGTCTCACCAGGGCTGAGGGCGGGTCATTGCGGGTTTCACCAGGGCTGTGTGGGCAGGTTAGTGCAGGTCTCACCAGGGCTGCGTGCGGGGTCTCACCAGGGCTGTGTGGGCAGGTGTGGGTCTCACCAGGGCTGTGTGGGTAGGTGCGGGTCTCACCAGGGCTGCGTGCAGGTTGGTGTGGGTCTCACCAGGGCTGCGTGCAGGTTCTCACCAGGGCTGCGTGCAGGGTCTCACCAGGGCTGTGCAGGCAGGTGCAGGTCTCACTAGTTCTGCCTGCGGGTCTGTGCGGGTCTCAGTCGGGTCTCACTAGGGCTGCGTGCAAGGTTTCACCAGGGCTGCATGCAGGGTCTCGCCGGGCCTATGCGGGTCTCACCAGGACTGTGGGGGCAGGGGCAGGTTTCACCAGGGCTGCATGCAGGGTCTCACCAGGGCCGTGCGAGCAGGTGCAGGTCTCACCAGAGCTGTGCAGACAGGTGCAGGTCTCACCAGGGCTGCTTGCGGGTCTATGCGGATATCACCAGGGCTGTGTCCAGGGTCTCACCAGGGCTGTGTCCAGGGTCTCACCAGGGCTGCATGCAGGGTCTCTCCAGAACTGTGTGGTCAGGTGCTGGTCTCACCAGGGCTGAGGGCGGGTCATTGCGGGTTTCACCAGGGCTGTGTGGGCAGGTTAGTGCAGGTCTCACCAGGGCTGCATGCAGGGTCTCTCCAGAACTGTGTGGTCAGGTGCTGGTCTCACCAGGGCTGAGGGCGGGTCATTGCGGGTTTCACCAGGGCTGTGTGGGCAGGTTAGTGCAGGTCTCACCAGGGCTGCATGCAGGGTCTCACCAGGGCTGCATACAGGGTCTCACCAGCGCTGTGTGGGTCTCACCAGGGCTGTGTGCGGGTCATTGCGGGTCTCATTAGGGTTGTGCGGGCGGGTGCAGTACTCCCCAGTGCTGTGCTGGGTCTCACTATGGCTGTGCGGGTGGCGGGAAGGAGGAGATGTGCAGCTGGACCGGCCCTGTAAACAGCCGCTGCAAGGTCCCCACAAGGCTGCTGTGAGGTCCCCAGCAAACACTGGGACCTTACCACAGCCGCTCATGTTTAAAAATGTAAAACGCTGCTCTATATAGATGATGGTATTCTGCATTGGTGTATAATGTATTGCTGAGATTTGTACTTTTCTATATAGTAGATGATGGTATTCTGCATTGCTGTATAATGTATTGCTGCTGATTTGTAGTCCTCTATACAGTGGCAGAACTACCAGGGTCACAGTGGTTGCAGCTTTGACGGGTCCCTTGCATTTCGCCACTGGGGGGTCCCTGGTAACCGCTGACATTGCAGGTTACCGGACTCCCCTTCCTTCAGTCTATGGTCCTCCATCCTTCAGTCTACATGGATCGTGTGTATCACAATTGAACTATGGCTTGGTTTGTGGGGGGCGCTAATGAAAGACTTGCTACTGACCTTGCTACACCTCTGAGTAGTAGAAGCATTTGCTTATCTATCTTAACAGTATAGATTTATTGTCCTCTGAACTTCTTCTACAGACTGAAATTAACTGTGTATGCCTAATGCAGTCACAAATACCAAAGTTTTACCTTTGTTAAAACTTTATAGGAGGTTTGAGGTTGTTGGTTGTACAGTTTAATGAAGCTAGACTTTAAAGAAGCCTGTATTAGGGTTTAGGAGTAAGTGTGTACAAGAGCATTAATCATTTTATCATATTATAAAATATCATTACATTTATTGTTATTAGTGTTACTATAACTTTTATCCCCAGGACTGCTCCCTAGTAGTGTACTGACTATGCTGACAGCTCTCTTGCTGCCTGTCCTTGATACATACTTAATGTTAAGATCAATGGCACATGCTGTCACAGTAGTACACTGCCAGGCCCCATGATTTGTAGTTACGCCCCTGGATTTCATCATCATTATCATCGTCATCATCATCATCATCATCCAAATCTGATGTAATAGTAACAGTTCTCTAATAGTGATGGGCCGAACACACCCGAGTTCGGATCAAACTTTAGAACATGAAAAAAGTTCGAACTCGAACTTCGAACTCAATGAAAGTCTATGGGACCAGAACTCAGAAAATCAAATGTCCCCATTTTGAAGGCTTATATGCAAGTTATTGGCCATAAAAAGGTATGGCGATTTGGGTACTGTCCTCGGGGACATGTATCAATGAAATAAAACACTTTTAAAAAATACAGTTTTGAAAGGAGCAGTAATTTTAACATCGCTTAAAGTGAAACAATAAAAATGAAAAATTCCTTTAAAAGTGGTGCCTGGTGGGTCGCCTTAAACTGCTTGTAAATTGGCGCATCTGTGCTATGTATAGAACCTGCTGCAGCAAAAAGTGGCATTTATAAAGAATAAAATGAAATTTATAAAAAAAAAAAACAATGCTAGACCCTTTAGGTCTGGTAGGAATATTAGGAGGGGCCCCATTTAATTAAAAGAGAAAAAAAAGCAAGGGGTCCCCCCGAAAGTCATTCCAGACCGTTAAGGTCTGGTAGGAATTTTAGGAGGGACCCCATTAACAAAAAAAAGAAAAAAAAAGTGTGTGGGGTTGCCCCTCAAATTCATACCAGGCCCTTAAGATCTAGTAGGAATTTTAAGGAGGAACCCCACCCCTAAAAATGGGGGGAAAAACATGGGCTCCCCTCTAAAATTTCTAACCAGACCCAGGAAAGGGTGGAGACGAGTGAGAGCCCCCCCTCCATACCAGGCCACATGCCCTCGGCACTGGGAGGGTGCTTTTCCAGGGTCGCCCCAGGAAAAGCACCTTGTCCCCTTGCCAGTGGGGACAAGGGCCTCTTCCCCAAAAGCCCGGGGGCGTTGGTTGTGGGGGTGTGGGCAGGGGGGCTTATTCACATCAGGGTACCCCTTTAATAATGCGGCCAACCCCCTCTTGTGAATGAGTAAGGGGTTCACTAAAGGGTTAAAATACATTTAAATAAAAAGTCCAGACTTTTAGAATAAAAATGCTTTAATTGAAATAAAAACACAACAAAGGCTCTTGACAATTCCTTTATTGTTAAAAAAAAAATGGATCCACCGACATAATCCTAGAGTCTTTTATAGGTTACGATGAAGGTCATTAAATGTGGGTACCTTTGGACTGTGGTGCTACAAATCAGTCGAGCTTTTCTAATGTTTCTGTTTTTCCCTCTACAGTTATCCTGGTGGTGGTGTTTGGGATCTGCTGGGCACCTTTCCACACTGAACGACTGATGTGGAGCTTCATTATTAACTGGACAGATAAAATGCATGAAATGTTCAGCTTTGTCCATGTTATCTCTGGAGTATTCTTTTATCTTAGTTCGGCAGTTAACCCAATTCTGTACAACTTACTCTCTACACGTTTCCGCGAGATGTTTAAAGAGGTCATGTGCCATGGAAGGAAGAAGAGGCTTGGTTCTCGGAGGTCTTCTCCCAGCGTTACTCGTGTCACCACACGGAGCACGGTTTGCGAGCATGTTCCAGGAAATGGACTTCCCTTTGCTGAAGTGGATGAATTTGATGTGTATGAAGAATCTGAGAATGTGGCCAAAAATGAGTCATCTTATTCCTGATTTCCTCTATCTAGAGCCATCACTTTCATTTTACACTGGATAGTAAACTCTAATGCACCTACCAACTTTACAGACTGCTGTTGCCCCCACACATACATTTTCAATTCAGTGCGAGCACTATGAAAAAATATACAATATACACCATGGAACGCCTAAGAAAAAGTTTTTCAATAGACTCAATGTCTTAATTACTGTTCAGAAAAAAATAGTTTTTGTGACAAGAGAACTGTGTAGGTTACTCCAGACTGTCTCCTGAGGATCACAAAGTGATCAGGGATGTTATATATCGAAATAAAGGGATCAGAGACCTTAGATTTGTTTCCTATTCTCCACACTGCTGTCACTATAACCTGCTTTTTGTCACTGTAAAATGTTAGAAGTAGGAAAGGCTGGGGCCTGCCTTCCAAAAGCAGAAGCCAGACAGGTTAATAATGTGTATGCATTGCAGCCTCTCACGCAGCCAATAATTCTAGGGAGCCCACTGCCGTTTAACTCAGTTATAGTCTCATGTAAATAAGACAAGATGACACAGAGTATGTATGGTATGAAATACATTTTCTTCTAATTAAAGTACCACTAAACGTAATATAAAGTTATATATATAT